GTGATAGCTTGCCAAAAAGAATAATTTCACAGGGAGTTTGGTCCCCTTACTATCTTTCAACCAAGTATATTTTTCAACAATAATTACTCCAGTTACTTTTAGCTGCAAATGATGGACTATAGCTTTAATAGATAAACATTTTTTGTCATGTACGTGAACTCGCTTGACCTTTAATTCCAGGTCTACTATAAGGCCAAAGATTGGTGAATATAAAATACAGATAGAATCCTAAAAAATAACAAACCAAATTTCTTCCAAACAATTTTACAGGATTATGATAAAACCTAGTATGAACTTGGAACCCGGTACGAAAATGTTAACAATTTTGTGATGTCATCATGACGTCACCAGGTATTTAAAGGCGAAATTTGACAAAATAGTTTCAGCTATATCTTTTGAACCAAATAAAGTATTATGTTCACTTTTTTTGTGAGGTTGTAGCAGATGCCTTGAGCAACATTTCTTATTCCTGGGCACAAAACTGACCTTTACTTCCGGTGTTACCGGAAGTGCAGTAGAAATTGAATTTAATTTTAAAACGGAAGCATTTCACTGCAGCCAAATCATTATGGAAGTGTTAATTGAGGAATGCCCAACTTGAAAAATAAAGGGCGCCCTCTAAGCGGCATGCAAAAGAATGTGTTTTTTTTTTATTATTATTTTGAAATCAGAGGTCTTTTGTTTTTAGCAAAGTGCCCATTAATATTCTTCAGACAATAAGTTGTCTTTGTTTCAGGAGAATTCTGAAATGCCTTATTTTTTTAGTGAAAAACCCAAATGTACTTTTTGAACTCGTGGTGATATGATCTCTGCTGCAATAATATCAGTCACAGTTGTCGATGCTTTTGTCTGGGTACGGTAATTATCTAACACGAAGTGATGGTGTAATCAATCCGTAGACTTTTATCTTGTTGTATTTTGTTTATAATTGGAAGTCTGTGTGACCCGGTAAAGTGCAGCATCATTTGACGTAACAGGAAATGATGTGCCTATAATGGAAGTTTGGAACATAAAACGGATACATTGTTATTACTTAACTATTGGCAAGTTCATGGGAAAGAATATCCAGTGAAATACTGTATATAGTTTCATTCTTAATCATCCTGCATTGTTGCTGCAGGCGCATTTATGCATGTTTAATCGATCTACATACTCTCTGAAGCAGAATGCTGATGAGTATTAAATCATTCATATCATAACAGTAAATCATTCATAAAATCCAGGTGTGAAAAACATCATTGTTGGTGTTATTATATTGAGCAGATGAACTGTTGTTCATAAAACATGGACACCAACATTTCAGTTGTGACAGGGATGCAATTATTTTTTTGTGACTTGAGAAATGTATAGCTATAGTGTTTTACTTTATCACATTAAGATGCATGTCTAGAAAACTGCTGTTGAAGTTGAAAAATAAAAAGACCACAAAAAATTGTATATGTACACCATGGATTATTAACAACAGATGAAATGAATTACAACAGCTTAAAAATATTCATCACATGGTATGACAGCCTCATCTTTGAAAGTAACGGAAGGGTTGGAGGTCCAATTATGAGTTTTTACTACATTATTGGAATTCTTTCATAGGGTAATAAGGCCCCCCAAAAAAGGCTCCGGTTTCTGGTATGGAGCTTGCCCAAAAAGTGGTGTGGTTTTTTTTGTACCTGATTTTTTTGCTTCAAATGTCGGGTGATGACTGCAAATGGTGCCCGACTAAACTTAGTGCAAATATATGGGAGTCCAGAGGCCACATAAAGCTTATTCTCGACCATAACCCAATCTAAAAACACGTTAAAATTGTGCAGCAGCAGGATTCCAGTCAAACCAGTGAGTTTGGCGGTTTTGAGACATCATCTTTCATTGAAAAAAAAACTTTTTCATTTTGCCGGTGCGCGCATACCAGAAACCGGAGACTTTTTTTTTTTGGCCTAAACAATTTAAATTTGTGTATGCATGTGTATAAAATTTAAAATCTTAAATTTTTTTCATGTTTTTTCCCCAAAATCCCACTGAAACAGCAAAAGTATTGTGCTATGCCTAGAGCTTCTGCGACATTTACATGTACACAATGTACGCATAATTTTGAAACAACAGATCTGAAACTTACACAAATTTTAATCCTTAAACATTTTCAACAATTAAGATCAAACTAATAACCATCCTTAATCTATGATAATTAAGTGAAAACATGACAATAAAAATATCAACCTTTGAACATACCTCTGACAGAATAACACGGCTGTCTTGGCTAACCCTTCTGCCTTTACCCAAGTTGATCCGGGTGAGCTACTTGAACGCACCTTTAATTGAGTGCACTGCCAACAGCGCCCTCTAGCTCTGTTATCCTGGCAACATTCATAACATTTTAACTTCATTCAAGAAAAAAAATCCTGAAAATGAGAATATTTTTTTTGTATTGGACAATGCATCAACGATGAACATTTGGCAAGAACAATTTTTAAATATTTAAAGAACAATATTTCTGGCCATAATCAAATTTTCTTGATTAATTTCTTTTAAAAACAATTATATTAGGCATCTTTTAAAAATTAGAAATTGTGCTTTTGAAACAGGAAAAGTTTTCTTGTGCTAAGAAAAACCTTACACAAGAAAATCATTTTTGGCATTGCTTGAAATTGTGTTCTCACTATAGAAAAATATTCTTAAAATAAGAAAAATATTCTTGCAATTGGAATTTGACTAAAAAAAATAGAACTCACGCAAGAACAATTTTCTTATATCTAAAATTTTAGGCACATGTACCTTTCCAAAACAAAACTTGACATGTTTCTCAGAACAAGAATTATTTTGTTTACTCAAGAATATTTTTCTTGCTTAAGAAAGTCATTTTTGGCTGGGCAGAATGAATACAGAGGAATTGTTACACAAATTATTATTAATACACCATGAACAGGGACAAATTGGTTGACCTTATTATAAATAAGCATCATATAGGCAACTGGAGACTTCCAGTGAAATACAGAATTAGGTGGCATTGAGTTATCAAGTGCGTGTATTCAGTGCCAACTTGATCAGGGTAATAGAGCACTATATGACAAGGCCACCAGTGCAGTATACTTCAACGGCAGCACAGGGGACTGGTTCAGGACGAGAGTTATTCAGTGCTGTGGTCCAATGGTTACGGTGTTCGAATCGTGTGCCGTGGTACATGGGTTCGAATCCTGACCGTGGGAACATGGTGCTTGTGCTCTTGAGCAAGGCACCTTACCATTATTGCTTCGTCCTTTGGATGGGACGTAAAGCCGTAGGTCCCGTGTGTTGTGTAATGCACGTTAAAGAACCCAGTAACACTCATCGCTAAGAGAAGGGGTTTGCCCCGGTGACTACAAATTCGTATCCTTGTGGAGACACACACAATAGGGAACAAAACATTGTAAAGGTCTCCACAGGGCAATTTCTATAGATGAATAGGTCTCCACAAGGTTTTCACGAAATAGATATATGGGTTTTACTCAAAAACTAGGAATTTCCAAGGTGGGTTGATCTGTCGCAAATGGAAGAGTTTTAGAAAAGGGATATTAAGTCCAAATTTCAGCCAAGGAAACTAATTCTGGTTAAAATAAGAGCATTTTGAAACTTCACTTTCAAAATTGAACACTTTACTACACGAGAACAAAGGAATGTCTCCACAAGGATACAAATTTGAGAATGGGTGTTCCTGGCAGTGGCTGCAATGTGCGCCGCAGCACCTTGTAAACCCTTATAAGGTGCTACATAATGGGTCTCATATTTCTCATGAACTTTATTTACCTTTCCTTAATAATAGACATATCTCCAGTGCCTTGAGTACCTAATAGTTGGTAGATACGTGCGCTATATAAGACTCCGATATTATTATTATAATACAGCCAGTCCCATTTTACTCAGGTAGGATGACCATTTAAATCATCCAGAAAGTAACCAACCAAGTTATTGTAAAAAAAAACTAACTTGGTTTAGAGATGTTAATGGCACTAAAACTCCCTGTGAAATTGTCCTTCTGGCATGCTGTCATTTAAAAAAAAATAATAATAATAAAAGGCCATTCCAAAGTTTTGTCAAGTGAAGAACTTTTTGAAATTTCGATTGACAGTTACAGTTTGTAAATGGGCAATTCCGTGAATGGGTGGATTGCAATTATTAGCGAGAATTGTTGGTTCAGTATGTGACATCACATAGCTACAATGGGCTGATTGAGAATCATGTCTCAAATGCTGATTTTGGGATTGTGTCATGACTCATCTACTGTTGAATTGAGATCAAGAACCAAAATATTGTGTTTTCTCGAAATATACAGCCTTCATAGAGCTAATGTGTCATTAGGTTAGTTGTTAAACACCCCGTCTTTAGATTTTGAGCACTCTCGACGCTTCAAACGATATAAACGCACTAGTGACTAATGGTCTACTGTATTTTTCTCCCGTGAGGATTGGATTACTCGGGCATCATATTAAACGAGAGTTGCTCAGCAGAATTAAAAGATCTGGATCTGCGGTGGCGGCAACTATCTTAATGTAGGGGGATTTCCCCCAATATTGGACACTTATTGTTATAAAGACACCAAGCAGGTCACACATGGAATGCTCATGGGATGGAAACATTATCATTTGAAGTGGTTTTGGCACCTTTATAGCTCAAAATTTGTATCAAGTTAAAAAAAATTTATCTGCAAACAAGTACAATTAAATTGATGATTTGAAAATCTATTGAACTGGATGACATTTGCTATTAAGAAATGTACCAAGAAGTGAAGGGATTGGTGGGTGGCAGTTTAAACAACTAACACTCAGACAACAGATTAAAAGATGAGATTAAAACCTTCAATTATCAAGACCTTAACAATGCTGAAAGTGTTCTTAAATGATGCAACAATCAGATCTGTTCCAAATCCAAACCACAATCACTTTACAGTAATTTTGAAATGAAACAAGTTGGCATTGTGTTTTCTTCTCTTAACTGTTGAATTGGTTGTTTTTTTTCCATTTGTGTGTGTTTAGGCAGGAAGCAGTGATGGTTCCATATGCTTGTACGGCCTGACTCAAGGTAAGGGTCCATTTCACTAAACCTTGTAAGTGTATATATCTGGTGACATAAATTTCACGTACTTCGTCCATACTTAGCTACAACCAGTTTGATTTTCTACATTAATTGCTTCGATATGTCGACCAAGAAAGGGAAAGTCAACGATAAGCAGGCTAAAGACATGCCTGCTCACCTGAGAGCTTCGTCCACAGCCTCGGGATTGTCTGCCTGGTACACTTCGCCTAGGGTTGAACAAGTGCAAATAAGTCACAGGCCCCAGCCTCGCCTTGAGCTGATGTGCCATGTGCAGAAAAAATTGAAAGTGGGCTGCCTTGCTCAATTTCCGTCACCAACAAGGGAGTGTCTTCTCACCACATTTCGAAGAAAATACCGCAAGTATCCAGAGCACCACAGGCTGTACATGTGGTAGAAAATGAGCCCTGACAGACCTCACCAAGGTCAGCAGTCAGCAAGGGCCGTCTTTCTTCCCTGGTCAACAATGGAATTTCCCCTCTACAGCAAGCGATGCAAGCAGGCAGCAGTCATTCAATATGAAGGCGCCCATGGCTCCACCGTATGGGTCATTTCCGTGGTTTCAATCTGCACTGCAGGGGCCTTCTAACGCTACCCAGCAGATGTATCATCAACATTGGGGAAATCAACCCCAAGACAACTCTCACTTCCTCTGCCAGCGAGTCCGATCATTTGGGGCAGTAAATTCTGGCCCTGGTGAGAGCACGAATTTGCACTATCGGAGATTGGCAGCAATGCAGAAACTGAATTGGATTTCCTCAATCCGAGTGGATTTTGTAACTCCATGGCAAGGGATCAGTTTTTCCAGTGACGGATCTTAAGTCTTTTAAAAGACTCTCATAATCGCCTGCTCAAAGCAGTTTTGCATCTGACCAAAAGTCGATTTTGGTTACTTGCTCCCCAAGTCCTTTCATCCCACAAAGTATGAACAAATTCGATTTTTGAGCGTGGACACTTATATGAAGTATTTACACGAAACGACTCTTAAGACTCTCATAATCGCCTGCTCAAAGCAGTTTTGCCTCTGACCCATCTTTTTGATGCTTTGGCGGATTCTTCCTGCCGAGAGACAGTCGACACTCAGTATAGTTAAAGATCATGTCACCTCGGCATTGATAAGCCAGAGTCTGGCTCTGTCAAGACAACATGCCTTTGATGAGCTGCTTGACAAAAGATATTGAAAGCTTCAAATGAAGTTCACCATTGATGAGGTCATCTTTTTTTGTGGAAATTTAGTCAAGGACATAGAGGATGCAGAGAAAGGAAATAAACTGGCAAACAAAGTGACCAAGACTGCAACATCTACTGCAGGGCCATACAAGGGGAATAAGTTTTCTCATTATTCTGCTCTAAACAGAAGATTTTGGGGCAACAAATCTTTTCAAGGGTGATCATCTGGCTATGCTACCGAGCAAAAGTATGCAGCCTATAAATCTGCATCCTCAAGTCATGGTAAATTCAGATTGGAGCAAGGTTTGTTTGATCAGAAAACAAAAAAGTGGATACTACATGTATTCCTTTCAGTTTCAAGACAAGTTGTCCTGAATATTTTGTTTGCAACTGGAAACCCCTTACAAGAGACAGGTGGATACTTCAGTCAGTTGTTCATAAAATAAAATTTGTAGAAGTTCCATTTCAATTATAGCACAGAATACCTCTAACAGAAATGAATTCTTAATCTCAAGTGGAGATTGTTCAGAAGGAAGTTCAAAAGCTAGTTATTAAAGGGGCAGTCACCGTGGAAGAACCGGTGATTGGACAATTTATTTCATCTTTGTTTTCGGTCCCAAAAAAGTTGGGAGAGCTCCCCCAGTGATAAATCTTCGTTCCTTGAATAAGTTTGTTTAAATACAGTAAAGTCTGGCTAAGTGGGCACTCTCGGGACCCCAGAATTTGTGACGACTTACGCCAATGCCGACATCTGCTGTAAGTCGTCATTTTGCCGACTTATGAATGGCTTTTTGGACACATGATTCATTGCACTAATTGGCTTTGATTTACCCTGGTTTATCTCATTAATGCTTGAGTTGAATCCAGCAAATTAATCCTCGAATTGTATCATGACGTTTGATAGTGGAGACCACGTGTACAAAAAAGTAATACAGATGTACATGCACAGTAGGGAATTAAATGCGTGCGTGGTCTGCGCGCACGCATTGACTGCAGCGCTAGTGCTAGTCATTCAATAAGACGACCCCCAAAATGGACAGAGCACATGCGAACAGACGAGAGGGGGTACTGGTATTGATATGCTCACGATGCATATGCAATGTATGCAGTATGACACTCTTTTGAGACACCGGTGCATGCAGCAATCACGTGCGTGCCAAACCACTTTTCACTCGACACTTCTTGCCAACTGCAGTACAGGAAGTCGATGCCTATGCGTGATTTTTTTGAATGCCGACTTACACAAAGGATTTTGTAATGCTTTTTATGGAAAGGGGACCGAGAGTAACATGACGACTTGAGTGAAATGGCGACTTATAAAAAGCCGACTTTGAAATAAAAAATTTAATGGAAATGCGTTACGGACAATCGGGACTTTAGTCAGACGGCTGACTTGAGTGATTTAACGAGTTGTACGATGTCGATTTAGCCGGAGTTTACTGTATCAACACTTCAAGATGGAAGGAATACAATTAGTAAAACATTTACTCATACCAGGAGATTTTTTTAGGTTCCATTGATTTCAAAGATGCTTATTTTATGATTCCTATTTATCAGGGTCATCAGAAGTATCTTTGTTTCATATTTGCATGCCTCCCATTTGGGCTGTCAAGCCAGTGGCATCGCTGCTCCGAGCAAAGGGAATTCGTTGCGTGTTTTATCTAGACGATATAAACTCATACTGGGCAGGTCTGCGGAAGAGTGCACCAAAAATCTCCAGTTCACGGCAACTACACTTCAGGAACTAGAATTCAGTATGAATCAGGAAAAAAATCATAATTCCAACCTAGACAGCAAATCACATACTTCTGGTTTCACATCGCTATTGGTACATAATCTACACATCAACCACCTAGAACTGTTGTTTAGTGGACTATACCCTTGGGGCATTGCTGAACCATCGACGCAATCCGACTACAGAAAGACAACATGACAGTCATGTCATACATCAGCCACAAAGAGGGGACTCATTCTTGGGAACTGTCATCCTTTGTAGAAAAGGTCTGGACATGGTGACTGCACAGACAAATAACATTGTCATAAAGTACCTTGACCGGGATATGTTATGGATGAAAATTGAAGGGACGTGTTGATGACACCATCACATGACGTGAGACTTCACATTAAAAGTGCCTTTTTCTCTACAGACCTGTATGCCTGTTTTGGTCATAACTTGGTGTGTACCTAGATAGGGATTTTTTTTATAAGATTGGAGTGACATTATGATGACGTAATCGATTGTCACATGATGTCGCATTAAATTGGCAATTTTGAAAGTCCTATCTCCAATACACCAAGCCGCATTGGCTTTTGACTTTGCATGTACACAGACAGGGATCTGTTAGGAACATTTTAGTGATGTCATGATCAATTGTCATGGAACATCACATCAGAGGTGCCATTTTATAGGCTTGCTTATTTTAATGCCGTGTTTACAAATCCTTGTCTCATCTTCATGTAGCTTCACACAAGTCCACAAATCAAAACAACCCTGTTTGTAACATGACAAAGGCATATCTAGTCTGTATTTTATCATGTTCAATGGGATTATAAACTGTTGACTTTTTTACTCTTTCCTTACTCCCTTTCCCCTTTTCCTTTTCTTTTTCTCTCCAAGTGCCTTGTGTCATTATAATAATGATTATTATAGCTATAAATAAAGGGTATTTCAATTTAATTTTTATTTATCATGTTTGGACATCACAGAAGCACCATTATTCACTTGGAATAATTCCACCAGCAACATGCCCATTGTGTCCATGATGTGGTCACGCAGTCGGCCTTCTGTTTTCTATGTAGCTGATGTGACATCCAAAGTGTATGTGTGGGAGCTGTTGACTAGTCAGGAAGGGCCAGTGGACATTGAACACTTTACAGATGGCAGGTAATTGTAGTGTGTTTTAATTTTGTCTTAATATCCTAACTCCCAAAGGGGGTATGCAAAATCGTTAATATTTGGAGGATTCAGGACTGTTCGGGCTATCAAGGAATTATTGAAAGTTGGAGGAGTTGCACGTGCATACCCCACGTCCATCCACTTGTCCAAGATTTTGGTAGGTAATTAGTTTTAAGTAAATACCAGTGTTGTAGTCAAGTGCTTTTTTCCGAGTACCAAGTACTGCCTAGTACTTAAGTTACTGAGTACAAGTACTTGGTACTTCCGAGTACAAGTACTTGGTACTTCCGAGTACAAGTACAGGTCTCCGAGTACGAATACTTCCGAGTATGAGTACGAGTACTTGTATTACGAGTACGAGTATGAGTATTTCCTTTTCAGAATACGGCCATATGGCAAATGGTTCATTGTGCGTAACTGGCCCAGGCCCAGTCAGAACTGATATGCAGACCCACTCACGGCTAACTGTTAAATGTGTTTGTAAGGGCATGCACAGGGGAAAATCAGGAAACTTTTATTTCTCCGCAAGCCAATCAACCATTTCAAACTGAAAGTATCAATAAAATAAGGCCATGGTAAGTCAAGCTATTCGAGTACTGCTATTCCAGTAAAAGTAGCTTTGATGATCGAGCACAATTTTGACATGTTGAGTACGAGTTCTTTGCTGCCCGATTACGAGTACTTTGCTGCCCAATACGAGTACCGTCATTTTGAGTATAAATACGAGTACTCTAACACTGAGTCCAGTTGTCAATGAATTTTGTTTGGAAAAGTCTCCATTAAGATTGTGTAATGGTATGTTGATAAAAGGTTGTGAAGGGTACTATTTCAAATCCCAATTAGAGGTTGTAGGAACAACCACACGGTGTTGGGCTAACATGTTTGAGTTGATGGCAAAAAGCAAACCAAAAGTTTGCCAAAAACACTGACAGTCCAGAATGACAGATATTGTCAAAGGCAAGTGTGTAGTGAAAGTGTACCCATGTAGATCAAAAACACAAAATACTTTTTGGGGGGATAGTCTCAGCTCTCTCAGGTGATAAACGAGTACTGTTGAGTATATAAATGTTCAAAATTATATCTCTCCGGGTTGATTTTCCCGGAATTTTCAAAGGAATTAAGTCTTTTTATTTTAACTTCCGGTCTGATGACGTCATCAATTTGTTTTTGTGCACAGGTTTTGTCTGCTTAAAGGTCATCATATGTATTCATTTTGAAGCAATTACCCCAAACTTCGCCACACACATCAACTGAAAATTCATTTTTGACATTTTTTAACCTGCCGCTAGAGGGCGCTCTAACATTTTATGACATCGGTATTTTTTGTAAAGTATAACCTCGCCGGGAACCAGTGTTGTAGTACTTGTACTCGAGTACTACTTGAGTACTTTTTTTGGAGTACTCATACTCGTACTCGTACTCGAATGTCAAAGTACTTGTACTCGAAATGACGGTACTCGTACTCGGGCAGCAAAGTACTCGTACTTGACATGTCGAAATTGTACTCGTTCATCAAAGTACTCGTACTCGAATAGCAGTACTCGGAGGAAAAATGGTATAGCTTGACTTCATATACCACGGCCTTATTTTATGGATACTTTCAGTTTGAAATAGTTGATTGGCTTGAGGAGAAATCGAGTTTCCTGATATTCCTCTGTGCACATCTGGACAAGCACATTTAACAGCTAGCCATGAGTGGGTCTGTATATCGGTCTGACTGGGCCTGGGTTTGGGCCAATTACACACAATGAACCATTTGCCGTATGGTTGTATTTGGAAAAACAAGTACTCCTACTCGTACTCGTACTCAGAAGTACAGCAGGGGTGTGATTTTTCCGGATTTTTCCAGATTTCCGGATTTTTAATCTAACGTCTGCGGACTTTTTTTGCGGACTCCGGATTTTTAACGTTTTATGTTTCCGTAATAATATCGCCCAAAAACCTCCGGCGAAATATAGGCTCTAATTTACGATAATGGATAATGGACTGGTGACAAGTCTAATGCAGTGCGGTCAAGAACCTAATAGACATTAATGCAGTATGCGCAGTGGAGTACTTGAGGACCAGACTAAAAATAATTTTCAATGGGTTTGCAGCACCTCGTGTTTGTATATCGCGTGTGGATGTGTGTGTGTACGTGTATTGTGCATGTATTGTGCAGTGACGATCGTGTGCTAGCAATTCGCAAACACATTGGTGTCAATATTGCCGCGATTTTGTTAAGGAATTCAAGAGTATGGCTGGAAGAACTGGTAATAAAGTGTCACTGTGGATGGAAATCAGTTTGAGCTGCAGTAGTGCTTTGAAAAATAGCCACCACCAACACAAAATTTCTAAAATGTTTTGGAAGCCTAGCTTGGACTGGAGTTTTAAGTAAGATTAAACTTTTCAGCACCGTTCATATTGTTTTGTGTGAATCGTTTCTCTCTGCAACATGCAAAAGTAATAACATCACACACAGAAAAAGCCTTTATGAATCAATCACATATGGATTATATTATTTAATGACCAGACGTTTTTTCTTATTTTTTCCCCCATTGTTTTCTTTACTGAAGTGACAAAATTTGCTAACATTACAGAAATTACAGTACAAAAAATGTACATGCCCGCCCCTAGGCCTATATATGGACATACGTGCATGCATATGTATACATGTACATCTATAAAAGTACATGTACAATAATACATGTACATGTTCATGTTCATGTACATGTACATATACATGTACATGAACATGTACATGTACATGTATATTACATGTCAACCGAAGTTCATGGATTTTTCATTTTTGTCCAATCACACCCCTGGTACAGTACTTGTACTCGTACTCGTACTCGGAAGTACAAGTACTGGTACTCGGAGACCTTTTCTTGTACTCGGAGGTACAAGTACAAGTACTCGTACTCGGCAACCTAAGTACTCGGCAGTACTCGGTTCTCGGAAAAAAGTACTCGACCCACAACACTGCCGGGAACTAACATTATTGAAAGCAAGTTCACATCTTTTTCCACTTTCAAATTATAAGGCACTTCCAGTTTGGAGTGAAAGGAAGGGTCACGTGATTTGGCATGCATGAGATACAATGACGGTCCTGGATTATTCTCACAGTTGATTTTATATTGATTTCAAAAGATTAATCACGTGGTCTCAACATAATATGCATGGCTATGCCACTGTATTGTAAATTTATCAAGTACAATCGTTAAAAACAAGTATTCAAAAAGCTCATATCTCTAAAAGTAAAGGTCACACACCATTGCAATACAAAATATTGCTCGCCATACCATTTCACCCCAATGCGCATGTTTTTAGAGAGGAAAAAAAACAATTAATAGTCGGGGACTAGAATGCCAAATTTGCTTTAAAAAAGTTTGACCCTACACCATCTCCTCCCCTTAATTTCTTGTTTGTATACGATTTTTGTATTTTGTCTTATTAACAACTGGGATGGTGGAAGAAAAATAAGCCCAGCGAAAGTGTTGTTTTAGGGCAATATTGTTGTAAAAATCCAACGTAAAATATCAGGAAATAAATTGGTCTGGTACCCCTCTCACGAGGCTTGTTTAAAAAAGCTTATTTTTGGGTACCAGTACATCTCTTTAAGGCATGCGGCCAACCTCGTTGCCATGGTCAGCTTGGAGAGCGCACCGCACGTATCACTTCCCAACTGAGTAGCGTAGTGGAGTAAAACGAGTATGGGACAGAGGTTAATTTGTAAAATGGCGTTGAAGCAGAAGCAGAAACAGGCGAATCGCGAGCAGACAGTCAAGAGAATTTTAAATTTTTACTTGTTTTTTTTAGAGTAAGTTGAACCAGTGTTATGTCACATGAATGTTGCCAGAATAAATGAAATTAAATCTTCAAAAAAATATCCTTTGTATGTAAACTGTGTCGAGAATACACAACAGATGAATAAAAATTGATCCGCGTACGGTCTTCTGACCGTGAATCCGTCAATTCTGGTCGGGATTTCCGTAGCAACAATCGGTATGGTTATGCGTGTTAACACAGCATGTGCAGAGCTAGTGTCGCACTTTGAATCATATCATCTTGTGATTGCCGAACTCAACTTTTTGTCTCAAGTGTTAACACAACTTCCTTTGAAGAGTGAAGGACGGCTGAACAACAAACGTGGTAAGAAATTATTTTCACTTTTTACTCAAACATGTCAAAGCCTTCGGTAACTAGCAGGCCTAGATTCTCGAGGTGAGTCTGTAGGACTTACGGGAGTGACAAGCATTTGGGTGAGACTTCTTTTCCACAAATTTAAAATAAAATAAAATAAAACTAGAGGTTGTAGGAACAACCACACGGTGTTGGGCCATGGATTACAGCAAACTTTGCCACACACATCAACTCAAAATATGCATGTTTAAATCCATGTTTGACTTTTTCAACATTCCGCCAGAGGGCGCTCTAACATTTGATGACGTCACCTGTAAAATTTTTGTACAGTACTGCGTAGGCAGACACTCACATCGTTGAAAGCAAGTTCGCATCTTCTACCAATTTCAAATAAAAGGCACTTCCGGTTTCGACAAAAATGAGGGTCACGTGATTTTGCACTTAATACCAAAAATGAAGACCCTGCAATATTGTATCGATTGCCATAAAAAACAAAATCAAATCTGTAGCAGTTGATTTTATATTGATTTTCAAAGATTCAATCTAGAAATCTTTGATTGCTTGTAATATGATACTTGATGACGTCATTGTGACGTTATTACCAGAAAGTTCAAGAGCTATTTTAACTGTGCTATATATATAGCCAAATCTTGATTATATCTATCACGGTTGATTTTTTAGCAATTTTTGAAGGTTTAAAGGTCTTTTTATTGTAACTTCCGATCTGATGACGTAATCAATTTTTTTTTCACGCATAGGTCTTGTCTGCTTTAAGGTCATCATGTACATTAATTTTGAAGGGAATACCGCAAACTTCGCCACAGACATCAAGAAAAAATGTGGTTTTTTTCATGTTTTTTAACCTGCCGCTAGAAGGCGCTCCAACTCTTCATAGCGTCACCCATTATTTTTATTATTATTAGGCACTTCCGGTTTCGACCGGAAGGAAGGGTCACGTGATTTGACGCACACAGGATAAAAGGAAGAGCATGTATTATCATGTCGATTCCTGCAAAATTCAAGTTCCGGTCTCTCACGGTTGATTTTATATTGAATTCCACAGATTAAATTTATTATATTTTGA